GACTGTTTAAAGTGCTAACCTGAGTAGGTCAGAACCCAAGAAATATTTTGTGATAATCTGGAACATCAAGATGGCTACACTTATGTCAGGGCTAGACTCGAGATGGGTACAGCCTTGTTTTCTTGGCCTCCACACATAGGCCCCATTTCTGACAACCAAGGTATGATTCCTGACCTTACAAGTCCCAGTTTCTCTCTTTGCCTCACCAGGTAAACCTGAGATTTTCTTAAATTATGATTCTGAGTTCCCACTCTAATAACTGGTCTATTTCTTGCAATTGCTTAATGAGGCCTGGAGCCCTAGGCTGTTCTTTCATGTGCATGCCTGCAGACTGCAGACCTTTTAGCAAACCTCAACTCCTAGATCTAAGGCCCTGCTGGACATGTCTGCACAGCTGCTAGCAGCCCCCCCACTTTGAATCTCTTAGATGCCTGAGTCCTGCCATTTGTCTGATGTTTGTCTAGAACATGCAGGGTCATGGACATTGAGCTGTGTCTCCATCCTGGGAATTACCAAATGTTACTTGGAACCTGATTTCCAGCACACTCTATCCTTCTGGGCAGGTCTAATTCCAGATGATAGCACCACCCTGGCCTTGCTTACAGTAAACATCCATACTTCCCTAATTATCTTGACATATGTCACCAGAGTCTCTAAAGGTTCAACAGTTGTATGATCTTCCCAATAAATTTAGCCTCAAATTTTCTTTCACCTTTTCTCTGCAACCTTCTTTTGGCACAGTATGGTATATATTAGGCAATCAACAATGCCTATAGATAACAGAAGAATGGGAAGTCTGAGATTCTGAGGTCCACACACTCTAATTTTTTTTTGTTTTAAGAGAGAATGCTTGTGAGCAGGGTGGGGTGGGGGGAGAGGGTGGTGCAGAAGGATAGGGAGAGAGAATCTTAAGTAGGCTCCACACTCAGCATGAAGCCCCATGTAGGGGCTTGATCTCATGACCCTAAGATCATGACCCTGAGATCATGACCTGAGCCGAAATTAAGAGTCTGTTGCTTAGCCGACTGAGCCACCAGGTCCCCTATACCCTCTAATCTTAACTTGGATTTATAAAAGTTCACTTAAAGCATATGTGTCTCATCAGGAAAGTGAGAATAATAATACTTAATTCTTGTAGGTGTTATAAGGATTGTCTATGAGCAGTGTGGTATACCTATTGGAATAGGCATTAATATTCCTGTAACGTTAATAATATTATGTTAATAAAATCTTATGTCAGGGGCTGTCCAAGGTACCATTGTTTGCTGCAGTCCAGCAAAAGTTGAAACTTTTAAATTCTTTTATTCATTCTTTTATTCTTCTTCTCTCCATTTTAAAAAAGCCAGTTATAAGAGTCAGTTTACCAACTGAAGACTTTATAAATTAGTATTTCAGAGCAATAAGAATAAGGAAGGATGTATTTGTTATCTTTAAAAAATTATAAAATTTCTACAAGCCACATATGTAGTCCCTCATAAGAAGCGCTTAGGTGAGATGTGTTTTATAATTCAGATTTTTAGAAGTCTTATAAAGGCAATATGAAACATTATACAATACCCCCATCAGGACTGTGATAGAAAACCTGCAATAGATATCGGTATTTTTGTAATTAAGCTTGTGACTTATCATGCCAAATTTATTAAAGGCTAAAAGTAGCCTTGTTAGTTTTGATTAACTTTTGCTGCCAAACAAATTTATGCCAAATATTCAAAATAATGTTTTCAAAGGCTTTTCAATTTTGGAATTGTGAATTAAGGATTGCAGACCCATATTTTGAAGAAAGAATGGTTTAATTTTGGGTGTCTCCAGACATAGCAGGACCAGAGTTTAAGGCCATTGAAGGAACAAGGAAAAATTTGGCTTGGTAAAAAAAGAGAACTTCCAGGGGCGCCTGGGTGGCTCAGTGGCCCGCATCAGTCTCTCTGCTCAGCAGGGAGCCTGCTTCCCCCCCCTCTCTCTCTGCCTGCCTCTCTCTGCCTAGTTGTGATGTTTCTCTCTGTCAAATAAATACATAAAATCTTCAAAAAAAAAAAAAAAAGAGAACTTCTGAACCGTGAAGGTCATCATAAAATGGAATACCAGACCTTGCAAAAGCCATAAATTCCCAGTCCCTATGGTCAAACAGAGATGCGTTATGCAGTTTCTGTTTATTCTGTAGAAGCCGATGTATTTACCGTGATGGAAACAACTTCCCATCCTACAAAACACACATATCTTGAAATAAATAAAAAAGAACATTCTTTGTTTAAACAAAGCTATTACAATTTAAATAAAATTGAAAGTTTAAAGCCAAGCATTCAATAAACGAAGGGTAGGGGGTCAATAAGGGTCTTCTCTGTCTGAATCAATACTGTCTGGATCCCCAGGTTTGAGACATGTGTTAGGTGCTCAATAAACAGTTGGGAATAAGTTAATGAAAGACCATGTTTGCCAGTATAAACATATTTAAAATTTGTAAGTACATTTCAAATCTGTAATTAAGAAATTCAGTGGCATGCATTAAAGCATGGTTTTCTCCTGAAGTTTCTATTTTTAAGTAAGGCTAATTATTCTAACTCCATTGTTTTACTGAAATACTTTTTAACTACTTTTGACTCAGGGAAGGAACACTTGCTATGGAGATTGAGTCAGCTTTGATAACTGAATAAAGAACACCCTGATAGTGTTATGATCACCATATATAAAACACATTTGCTTAAATTTTCAGTGTTCTTTTTTAACTTTAAATGATTGCTTCTGATTGCTTTGATGATAAATATGATAGGGCACTTTGGAAATATATTTTTGTCCCTTTTTTTCACAATGGTCTTTCATTCTTTTGAATTATTTGGGTTATAAATCTGTATTTTACTTAGGCTTGAAATCCTGCCTGATTGCTTATTTTTAATGCCAATAACAGAATGAAAAACAAAATGTAATAATCCCTTTCCCTAAAATATCCAACATATTGGATCTCATATTATAAACTGGCCAAAGAAGTAATAATCAAAGCATAGTGAAATTTCAGGCAAGAAAGATTTGTTTGAGTAACATGATTTAAAAAAAATAGTTTTGACTTAGACTCTCAGTTAACAATGCAATTCACCTATTAGATGAATAAGAATAGAACTTCCCGCTAAAGATTAGTCAGCTATCAGGGTGCCTGGGTGGCTCAGTGGGTTAAGCCTCTGCTTTTGGCTCAGGTCATGATCTCGGGGTCCTGAGATTGAGCCCTGCATCAGGCTCTCTGCTCAGCAGGGAGCCTGCTTCCCCCACTCTCTCTGCCTGCCTCTCTGCCTACCTGTGATCTTTCTCTCTGTCAAATAAATAAATAAAATCTTTAGGAAAAAAAAAAGATTGGTCAGCTATCAAACAATTCCCTCAACTACTGTCAGTCAGTGAGAATTTCAGGTTTCTTTTTGGCTATAAATCCTGTGAATGAAGACTTTTTATAGGAGATTTTGACAGAATGAGAGATACCCATGCTTTCTGTTCTTTATAACAATCCAGATGTGTTTTGTTTTCTTCTGTTGACCTTTGGATGGAGGCATTCATGAGAATTGTTAATAATCCACGCTGAAGAATTGTTTTCCACAAAATAAACAAAACTCTAATATTTACATGGTAAATTTAGCTTTGGGACAATGTGTTGTTTAATTTTGTGGCTATTTTAAATAAATTTAATATTTTCTATGTTTTTCTTCCAAGCTTTGGAACTGAACCTTGTTGCTACTTGTAGATGGATTAAAGACTGTGAGCATGAGATCAAGGGATAGAGTAAACTTTCACTCTCTGTGCCATTGCTATAATGTGCAGATGCTGTCCAAAATAATGGAGTTCTTCCTACACCCCAGCTATGTTGCACTAGTACCAAATTAAAGTAAGTGTCTCCTAAGAATATAAGTATAGTGATATTTTGAAGCAAATATAGTCAAGTTTATACCCCTTGTTTGGAATTTTATCATTCTGATTTTCAAAGAAATCAGTTCACTAGAAGGTCATGTTTAATATTATTAACATCTTTGACCCATGTATATCCTTTGTAGTCCATGGCCATACATAGGCATCCTTGGTTTTGTTTCAACAGGAGTAAGAGTAGTCATTATGTTTTTACTCCTCCTTAGAACAAATCCCTTCCCAGCTTTTCAATTCTTTGGTTGTTTTTCTATGATCTCTGTGTCCTAAGGTTTGATGCTACGTTGTTTCAGATCCTGTAAAGCTACTTAAGCTGAAGCTGTTGAATACGTTTATAAGATAAATTTCAAAGGATCAAAGAATCCAGAATCTAAAAGTGTCAGATACAGAATGCACAGTGGTGTGGTCTGTTTTGTTTGCTACTCAACTTTTTGTACTAGGAAAAGTCCCTGGCACACTTTAGAAACTCAGTATCCTCAACTATTGAGTGAATAAATCAATAAAAGTTCATCCTTTTTCAGTTTGAGACAAATTAGATTTCCTGACAAAATGACAACAAAAACTCTTCCTCAAGATTTTCAACATTCTATCATTCCTTTGGCATCATTGCCTAGGCTAGGAAGATTATAATCATTTTTAAATGCATGTTAATTCCTGAGTAACTGCCCAAGTAGACTTCCAGACACCAGCTTTGAGACTGAAAAGGTGAAGCCATCCTAAGGTCATGGGTGACTAAGAGATGGTGCCCACAAAGGCAAGAAAGCATTCATGCTTGAGTAAAGAAAAAACAATGGGAAACTTCCAACTCACAACTTTTTTTCTTTGGTTGGTCCTAAAATAGAAGACATGTGTCTGAAAGATGGGGCCAAAGGGAAGAAAAAAATTTGATTATGTAAGATTTTCAAAGTTCCTTTCTCTCATGAATGTTGTTGAGGGAGTAATCACAGTAGTGCTCAGAGGCTGTATTGGTTTTCTGTGATTAACACTTCATTTCCCTATAAAGTAGATTCCACTTTAATGCATAACTACTTATTACTTAGTTTAATCCTCACCTGCACTGATGCATCAGAGTTGATTTTCCACTAGTCATTTAAATTATTTCTCAGGTCGCAGATATAAAGGGCTGCACAGGAATTGAGAAATATCCTTGGAGTTAAGCCTGTGGTGGAAGCACAAGAATGGACAGAAAGCATGGAAAATATGTAGTAAATGTTGAACGCTCTGAAAACCAGTCTGTGAGTATTGCTGCCCTATTTTAATACTTTGCCTATATTGCCATCTGATTTTCAGCCTTTAAAATCAATGAATCTCTTTACTACTACATGGTCAATGTCATAATTTTGCATTATTCTCTAAAATGAAGAGTAGCCATGTATTAAATTCTTCTGTTTCAACTTTTCATGTTATATTCTTCTGTATTTTACTTTAGAAATTGTTTTGTATATTTGCTAATTTAAAGCATTGGCAATGTTTCCATTACCACGTGATACACAAATAAATCCATCTAACTTTCTGTATTCACCATTGTGGAAACATGAAGCTCCAATGATATCTTTGGTTTGGTTTTGAAGTAATATTTTTACAGTTTGAATCTTCACTTTTATATACTAAACCCGTTAGAACTTAGATATCTAAATATGCTGAAAATCCAAATATTAATCTTGGATCTTGTCATGAGGCCTAAGAAAGAAATCCTCTAAAAATCCCCACTTTGTATAAAATGTGGTCATTTTATCTGTCTTCCAATGTTTTACATCGAGAATCAAGCCTTCACTGTATATCTGTAAGTGCTTTTCATATCTGAACAAGTAACCTTTGATATGAGAACGAAGGATGGAAGTGTGCTACAAATTAAAATAGTAAGTTAAAATTCACTGCCTGAAGAATGAATGAAATATTTTTGCTTTGCAATTTGGAGCTATGGCAAATAGCCTGTATTAATTGCCTACAAGATAAGCCAAAGAAGAAAGTCTTGGCTCTGTAAGTGTTAGGTGAACAAAAGATTCTCCTGGAGAATTTCTGGTGTACCAAAAGAAAGGGGGCTTGTCCCTTGAGTCATCATACAGAGGACTCTCCTGAAGCTGTTCTCCTTGTCACTCGGAGTTTGACACTCTATGATTGGATCTTCAGGATGCCTGAGTACTCAGATGGGAAAAAAGAATCCCTTTCACCAGGTACTCATCATCTGCATAGCTTCTCTAGATAAAAACAGACTTGAAGATGTTTACAAATATTATTTTGAGTTGTTTTTATAGCATATATCTAGATAGGTGGCTGACTATTTCACTTTATTATGGATATTTAAAGTACAGTTATAAAAGTATTTTTCTCTTAAGACCAAATTCAGTAATGAAGTTTAAGAATTATTTGAAGACTATAAGCAAAAACAAAATAAATGTTGGTGTTTGGTTTTTCTGTTGGGATATATGAGATCTGAAGTCAGTCCTTATGAAGTCAGGAGGAAAACCCAAAGAACTCTTTTTGGTAACTATAGCTAATTCACTTCAGTTGCCTGTGGTCATTTAGCTAAGGCTGATTATCTGATTAAACATTTGCAGCTCTTTAACTGTTCCAATTTTGTGTAGAGACTCCACCTCTGCTAAGAGCCAGAGCAACATAACACAGTAAAAATTATTACTTGGGTTGCAATATTACTGCAAAGCTGAGCCTAGATCATAGGTTCTCCACACTAAGTATAAATACCACCCATCATTTTTCTTCTTTGAAAGGACTGATTCCATCAGGGCCAGAAAGTTCTGGAAAACTGGCCTGGTGAGTGAATTTTACTTTGTTTACAAAGTTCATTAAAATATTTAAGTTCGTGCTCACTTTGGCAGCACATATACTAAAATTGGAACGATACAGAGAAGATTAGCATGGTCCCTGTGCAAGGCGACATGCAAATTTGTGAAGCATTCCATATTAAAAAAAAATATATATATATATATATATATTTCAGTTCAACAGCCACAGGCAAACTGGATAATAACTAAGGCATTGGTACTTAGCAAAATAAGCAAGGTTGTTATTAAAGGTAAGTCCAACACTGCTCAAATTTATCTATTGAATAACATGGAGTTTGTTCAGTTTTATTCAATAAAACATATGGTTGTTTTCTTTATTTCTTTGATATAACAGAAAAATATAACTTTGCAAACTCTTTACTGCCAGAGTATTCCATCTTATCTACATTGAATAGCAATCATATTTATTTTTTGTGTTGTTCATGGTTGTTCTCAATGGACCAGTAAGCACATACAATACAATTCTAATCTGACAGTTTTATGGAACTCATGAGTTGATGGACCAGCAATTTTTATAGCTATTTAGTAATGGGCTATAAATCAACATGACCCAAGACAACTAGTTCTAGCAACAGTAGGAATAAAAATGCTGCTGCTACAACTACCGCTACTACCACTGACAGCCAACACTTACAGAGTACATACAGACGTTGCTCTAACCCTCTTCCAGTATTTACTCACTAACCCTCATAGCAAATCTACAATGGGTAGTTTTAGGTTTTGCCTTTGGAAGATGAACAAGGAGTGGCAGAGATGCCCTTGACTCACAACAGAAAGAAACATGATTCTATGAGACGAAGATCCCCCTACAGTCCTGTGTAGTTTTTGAGGTGTAACAAAACTCTTAGCCCAGTTCCATAATTCCTGAGCTTAATCCTCTCCCATTGTTGTTTCACCTTGTTCTTTCCCTTTCTAAAACACCTCTTCCCCCAAATCTTTCCTACTGAGCTCAACCCATTTTTAATCCTTATTGCCCCCTCTCTCAACAATATTTTGCAATTGTTATGCCTCCCTGTTATATTAGCATATAAACTTCCTAAGAGTAGAGACATTTTTGTTGTTGAGAACTGCATTTACATGACTATATGTCCAAGAGGAAGTCAGCATAAATTTATCACAAACTGACAAATAATTTGTCTTCTGTCTCTTTGTCATGGGCATGCAGGTTCCATTGCATAGATGGAAGGAGTCTTTTTGTTTGAGAATTTTTCATTAGTATAGTGTAGATTAGTTGACACTATATTAATATCTTGCCATAGTTTGGTATAATAACATACTATATACAATAGAGTGGAGTGGAAAGTACACTGGCCTTATGACTGGAAGGTTTGAGTTCCAATGCTTGCTATTATGTCATTATGGGATGATGGTGATGATGATAGTGATGATAATAATAATAATAACCTCACCTCTTTTGGCGCTAATATTTTCATTTCCCAAATGACCTAAACAGGTTGTACCTGATAAACTGCAAGAATTTGGCTCTAACATTCCATTCCTTATAGGAATAGAGACTTCCTAATATATGCTTCACCTACAGCAGCTTGCAACATGAAGGCATTTAATAATGCAAATAATATTGTAGAGAAGATGTGATGTACATACATTCCTGATCTGGAACATTGGTAACGTTTTTATAATGCAACATGTAATAATCTGTCTAGATTTTTTTGGTCTTCAGAATATAAGAAGAAAACATTCCTTTTAAAAGTTTTGTTATGCTTTATCCCTTTTAAAAGTGATACTCTTGATTGTTTGATAGAAGAATTTACTTTAGAAATGCAACACCATGGCTTCCTATTCACTTGTGCTTTATTTCTCTAGCCAGTCACATGTTCAGATGACCAAGAGGCTCACAGCTCTGCATGCTGGCATCGACCTTCAAATGACACAACCGGTCATATCTCTTCCAACTTAACTGGACTGTATGTGAGCCCAGGAGTCCTTGTACACTCACGATGCCCACACATAGAATTATCTAATACACAGGTAATGTTTTATATAGCAGCTTCTACCCAGGTTGGAATGTGTTCTATACAGGGACGTATTTGTTCTATTCTTTCTCAGGAAATATATTTGATCATTTAATTCACCCGCATTCATGTTAAGCATCTGCTGTATTCTCAATATCATTATAAGTCACTGTGAGGCAATTTGTAAGAATAATAATATCTGATAATTCCTGTTTTCTAAGAGCTGAGCCTAGATCTAGTTGGGGACTCAGATATTCTAGTTGGGGACTCAGATATTTGCACAGATAGAAAATATATGACAAAAGGGAATAAATGTGAAGTATAAATGTAGGTGGGGAGAGGCAGAGGAGCATATATGCTGACAATGTAGGGTTTATACACAAACTAGTGTGTGATGGGAGACTGTATCATATTCAGAGTTTCAAGGGTCTTACTCAGTTGGTGATCTCCTTATTTTCTTCTACTATTCTAGCCTCTTCTACTATTCTAGCCTCTATATATGCCATATATGTTTCACATTCTATAAATTTCTTTAATCTGACCTCTGACGCAATTGACCTTAACATAGAAACCTGACTCTGTTCTCCAGATACCTTCCACTAGCTTTGGAGACTAGATCCAGCTCTCTTTGGTTCCTGACCTTATCCATTGGCTGAATTAACTTTACCTCAGGACTTCAATCCTATTATAGAAATTTGACCTCTACCATAAATTACTTATTCTACTTGAAAGTTTGTTTGGGTTTCCCTGAGTCTCGAATTCCTACCCTCTGTTGCTTAATCTTGCCATAGAGAGTCCGAACCTTGTTTCTTGATTCTGGATAAAAATATAAACTGTTCATACTGTTGCTGAGACAATGTACAAGAATGGATGAACTCAGTAAGATGGAGTTAGAACATGTTCCTTCTTATTGGCAGAGGCAAACTAATTTGTGTAATCATAGTATTGAGAAGTCTTAAATAACATCTAGTCTGCTACTTTTTAACCCCAGCTGCATTTTAGAGTTTTTTAAGAACTACCAATGCCTGAGCTCCACTCATTTCGTTAATGTCTATGGCTGCTTTAAGACTCCATTGGCAGGTTGCCGTAATTGCGACCAAAATTGTATGGCTCACAAAGATGAAACTATGCACTATCTGGCCCTTTTGCTGACCCTAACCTAGAGTAAAAGAGACAAGGACCTGGGAATGTGAACAATAAAAGCTGAGCATGGATATTGAGCCTATAAAAGAAACTGGGAAGATTCTGGTTGGCGGGGGGGTGGAGGTTAGGAGGAAACCAATGAGAAAGGAATATCATAGAAGGCAAAGGAGGAGACTGTTCAAGACAGGAAGGATGGTCTTCAGAGGCAAATGTTACTGAGGGCTTGCGTACGGTGCAGGCTAAAATATGTCAGTTAGATCTGAATGAATGAATGTCATTGGTGACTTTAGTAAGAGGTATTTCAGTGGCATGGCAGAGGCAGAAGCCAGACAGGATTGGGTTGAAAGGTATGCAATGGAGATGTTGCATTTAGATGAGTCTCAAGAAATTTCATTTTCCAGAGAAAGAGAAATGGAAGAAGCTAGAGAGGAATTTGGAATCAAAGGAAACTTTTTGTTTGAGATGGAAGAGATTTGCCTGTATATAAATGTTAAAAGGAAGAAGCCATTTAATAGGAAAGTGGTGAAGTATTTAGTCCCAGAGGAAGAATGAAAAAAAAAATTGTTGCTAAGAGTGGAGAAGGAGGGCTGAGGGTGGGGGGAGGATGGGGAGGGGTGTGATCCAAGGACGGATTGGTAGATCTGCTTTAGGCAGGAGGAGGGGACAGCTCCTCTGTGTCAATCAGGGAAGGAAGAGAGGTGGGGCCCAGGCATACTTAGATTTGCAGATTTGGTACCTAGTGCGGCTTTCAGATACTTGCCATCTGATGGTTTCAAATTTCCCAAGGAAGTAGAAAAGAGGTGAAGTCATTTAATGGGAATGAGGGGGTCAATTTGTGTGCAAGGGTTGGTGGGTGGAGGTTACAAGTTTGAAGAGAGAGAAGATTGAGAAAGATTTACGATACGAGAGAGTATCTTAGATAAATGTAATAGGATGATGGAGCCAGTACAGAAAATCTATTCAAGAATGGGAATCATACATTTATATTGACTCTGATTAGCCTGGGTACTTGACTTTCCCTGACAGTGTGGCTGCTCAAGGCAAATCCAGAGAAAACAATCATTTATTTGCCAGCTGGAGGAATGATGAGAGAAGTGCAAGAGATTTTAGGGAATTAGTGTTATTGAAATAATGGACTATGGAACAAACGGTGGATAAGGAGGCATGTGAGTGAAACAAGATCTGCTGGGCCAATATTTTTGAATTATTATTAAAGATTGTATTTATTTATTTTAGAGTGAGAAAGAGAGACAATGAATGTGAGCAGAGGGAGGGGCAGAGAGAGAGGGAGAGAGAGGAAGAAAATCCTCAAGTGGACTCTTTGGTGAGTGTGCAGCCTAATGTGGGGCTCGATCCCAGGACTTTAGAGATCATGACCTGAGCTAAACCAAGAGTCAGACGTTTAACCAGCTGAGCCACTCATGTGCCCTGACCAATGATTTTAATAAGATGAAAGAAAGGTTGCTATAGGAGTAACTTAATAAATAAGTTGGAAGGAGAAGAGATGATGGTGAGAGCATAGGATTCTTGAGAGATTGAGTTTGGAAGTGGAACAGTTTGGGGTAATGACAATATCCAGTGAAGGACTGGGTGTATGATAGAGAATTCACCATTGGAGTGCTGTTCTGCTTATGCGAAAAGACAACGCTCTCTCCTTGCATCACTGGAAACTGGAATAAAAGAAGATGAGATATTGGTAGATTTTGATTTCTTCTAATGTTAGAGAAAGGGTGCAATTACTTTCATCTGGTTAAAAACTTGGACTTTAAGCTTAAATTTCTTCAGCGATATAGAGGGATTCTAATCATGTTAATGCACTAAGGTATAAAGAACATAAAAAAATGAAAAATCAGAAGCATTTTTGTTTTTCATTACTGATATTGCCATTTACACTCTTCTTAGGTAAAAGGAAATTGCTGTAATAACTGGTCTCTGTGGGAAGTCTTTTTGGCTTGTTTCTTAGCCTCTGTGATAACAACAGCAATTGGAGTACTCATAATATGCCTGGTGAACAATAGAGGAAGTGACAATTCTCCCATTACTAGCCAGCTACCCTCCAACAATGACATTCCCAGAATGACATCTACTACTACCAAACCTGCAGTGACCACCACTTCAACTGAACCTACAACTATAACCACTTCCACAGAATCTACAACCACTGCAATGTCCACTGAACCTACAACCTCCACAGCCCCCACCACCGCTACAACAGGACCTACAACCTTGATAGCCCTCACAGTCACTACAGCAGAATCTACAACCTTGGCAGGTGCCACCATCACTACAACAGGATCTACAGCCTCAACAGGTGTCACCAACACTGCAACATGACTGACAACCATCACTACCACTACAACCAGACTTACAAACACAACCTCAATCACCCCTTAAAGGAAACCCACAGGTACAACAGCTACCACTATCACTTTAACTGAACATACAACCATGAAAACTACAACCACCACTTCAAGTGAAACCCCAGCTAATGCCACTTTAACAGAATCTACAACTGTTGCAACTTCAGTAATAACAAATGCCGTTATAGCTTAATCTTAGTGGACAACCAAAACAGTTACTACATTTACCATCTCTTCAACTGAACCCACAGCTTGTCTTACTTCAGCTGAATCTACAACTACCACCCTTCTACTTCCCCTACAACTACTGTAACTGCCACTTAGTTTAGACTAACAGTGTTCATTGCTCTCCTTCAACCATCTGTAATCTTCACTATTCACCTAAAGTACAAATGCCACCATTCTCACTTTTCTAGAGTTACCATCATTTGCCAAAATGTTCTCTTCTGTGACAAGTTATGCTTTAGTTATGATCACTACAACAGCCTACAACCATCCTCCTCACTGGCTCTTCTCCAAAACTGCCTCTTCTCCAATATCTGCTGAATCTGTACCTACCGCCATCACTCCATTATACTTGTGGCAGCTACCATGGTGCCTGTTGAATAACAATAACTTAGTGTGCAATGGAATAATTATCTGAACTTTCACTAAATCAATACTTTAGGAGTTCCAAAAGTCTTAATACTGATTTTATTTTTAAAGAGCTGAACATTTATGCCATACAGATCTGCTTTTGTTTCTCTATTTCAAAATAATATAATTTCTATGGACAAGGTAACCCAATTTATTGAGAAAATCTTTTAAGAAATTTTATATAAAATTTCAGAGTAAAATTAGTCACTTAGATTTTAATATGTATTGGTTTCTATTCAGAACATAGCATTTTTCTATACACAAATTACATGCACAACGATGAACAAATTTTATATGTGGAGATTTAGACAAACATGTAGAGAAAATGTTAGAATTTAGAAATTTTTGTTATGGTGAAGTTTGTTTCTGCAGTTTCTCTTTAGATTATAATTACCCTGTAAGCAACCATATTTAGTTTGCATTAATCTTAGTGAAAGTACATTTGAATCTCTATTAAAATTTTTTTTGCAAAAATTTATTTGTAATTAAATACATATCTTAAGTCCCAACTATATACTAAAGTTTGGAAGATACAGAAGAAAGTAACAATGCAAATAAGTAGTAAATTCATTAATTTACACCCTGTTACTATTGAATTCTTAATAATTGTAGCAGGTTTAAATTATAATTGCTGATACCCCAATTATAATTGCTGATCTTAATCAGGTTCTTTAGATTGCAACTAGTAATCTATTACTTAAAAAACTTAAGAGGTGTTTGTGACATCGGGGCAGGTTTGAGAATCACCAGTTCAAAGATCATAGTATAGGAATCACATTAGTTAGTGTGGTATATATTTTAATTAAAAAAATTAAATATCAGTATCATGTTCAAGACATGCAAAAAAAAAAAAAAAGAATTGTAAACCTAGTTATGTGCAAAAACCCCCTTACTTGGTCAATTATATATATGATCAAGAGGGGAATGTTTTATTTACTACATTATATAAAAAATATTTTCGAGAAAAACATATTATAGCTTCTAGACAAACTAAATTATTTAAAATTTCTTAAAATTGGACCACAGTGGGGGAATCTGGGTGGCTCAGTAAGTTAAGCATCTGCTTTCAACTCAGCTTATGATTTCAGGGTCCTGGGATTGAGCCCCATGTTAGGCTCCCTGCTTAGGGGAGTCTGCTTCTCCCTCTCCCTCTGCCTCTCCCCCATCACTCATGCTCTCTCTCTCTTACTCTTTCTCAAATGAACAAATAAAATCTTGAAAAAAAAATTGGACCAGAGTGAATACTCATTGTTAATTCTTACTAGATGTTATTGTCATTATAGGTGCTTAGAAGAAATGATATTCTAGTAAATACATTAATTGAGATTTTTTTTTTTAAGATTTTATTTATTTATTTGACAGAGATCACAAGTAGGCAGAGAGGCCGGCAGAGAGAGGAAGGGAAGCAGGCTCCCTGCTGAGCAGAGAGCCTGACTCAATCCCAGGACCCTGGGATCATGACCTGAGCCGAAGGCAGAGGCTTTAACCCACTGAGCCACCCAGGTGCCCCATTAATTGAGATTCTTAATAATGCACATTGGCCTTTCCCCCTCTTCTTGCTGTTTTATGAGCTCTTTAAATCTTTGGATGAGATATTTAAAACATCGCTGATTAGACTTTTCAGTTTCTGACTTGGAGTTACATTTTGTGATTCTGTAACAGGTTTGCTCGTCATCAGAATGATAAATGATCCAAAGTTTAGTCACACTTGTAAATAGGTACATCTACAGCTTATTTGATAAAGAATGTTAACATTGACTTGGGCTGCAATATAATTGGTCCATAAGATATACACATTGAATAAAGAGATAAATGGTAGCTGGCTTGTGCTACACAAGAACCATGAAAATAAACCCTCTCTCTCACTTATTATTCCATCCCTCTAGCATTTTAGTAGACCCCAATAGATATTTATTTTAAATTTCAAATAATTATATTTGGTTTAGCTCTTAAATGTTATTAAAACATAACCGTGCATGAGTGATGATTCACAGGCACCTCGCTGAGGTCTTCGCTCTTTCCGCCATATCTGGGCTCAGCTCTGTGCTTGAGGGGAGGAAGATATGGACTCTGACCTCAAGGGGCTTATTCCCTAGTAGAGGATTTAATACATACAGGTGCAAAATACTAGCTGTAGCATGCCTTTGAACTCAATCAGGAACTCTTCTGAACCTACTTCATAATAACAGGGTTTGGAGTGAAGTTTTTCCGGTTTGTAGTTTTGCCATTTTTCGTACATTGATTCTATTGTTTGTTCATTTCAGTTTATTCATTCAACAAATATTTATTCAGTACCTATTGCATGTCAGGTTCTGGAAATATAGCTATAAATAAGAACAAGGTTTTAGCTATCAGAGTTTCCCTTATGATAGAAATAGGCAATAAATATGCAAATGCATAAACAAGATAATTTCCTGTAGTTAATAAATGCCATAGGGTCATGGAAAATAGTAAGTAACTGGAGTGGAGGTGGAGACACTCGATAGGAGATTTTTATAACCTCAACACTATGACATTTTGGGTCATATTCTTGTTTTGTGTGATGCGAACATGTTTAGAAGCAACTCTGCCTGCTCCCAACTAGATGCCAGTACCATCTGCCCCCTGGTGGGATGACCAAAAATGTCTTCAGACGTTACCAAATGTCTCCTGTGGGGAGGAGGAAACATTATCTACTGCTTAAGATGCAGTAATTCTGGAGATGACGTTTGGGAAAGATGTCCAAGTACTAGGTCCCAAAGCACCTTTGCTGCAGCCCTGAGAGGGGTATGATGGCCCACTGTGGACCTTTGGTTTCTGCAAGAGTCTGGAGTTAGAGCTGTCTCTACAGCAGAATACTAAGGCAGGTTTGCTGGCAACAGTGTAGGAGATCCTCCTCCAATTCCCCACTGCAGACCTGGCTGCACTGGCCTCTATTCTGATCTCTTATTCTCACATCCTATGTTTCCCACAATCCTCTTACTGGGCCGCGAATCTCTGCCTGTTTTTGTTTTTGCTTTTGCTTTGTCTGCACCTCTAGTGATGGGCGTCTCCTCTCTGAACCGCAGCTCCCCTGGCTTTGACCTTGTTACCCTTGGCTGTGTGTGCTACAAGGCCTGGCTGCTGGTTGACTTTTCAGCCTGCCGTCCTGATCACTTGCTCCGGACCCCTGCTGGGAGGACTGCCTTTCTGGTCTGGCAGCTCTAGGACTGATTTGCCAGAGTCTTGCCCGGAGTCTTGCCCGGAGATGCCAGGGACTGCTTGGCTGAGACTCGCCTCCTCCCAGTGGCCTGTGCTCTCATTCACAGCTCTCAGCAATTCCTTCTCCACAGGGCAGGTCTGGTTCCTGGCTTGAGAGCCTTTCTGAAATGTTTTTCCACTCTTTACCTACTGAAACTTTATACAACTTTCCTTGTCATTTCCAGATCTCAGCTAGCACTTCATTGAAACTTTGTAGTACATTTTCCCTTCCCTAACATATTACAGGAATTTGAAACCTTTTTGTGGTTACATCACAGACAATACCTCCTATGATTTTAGCTACCTGCCAGGCAGCATTTCTGAATACAACTGCTTTCAGACAGATAAAGCACTGTTTCCCAGATAAATGCTGCCTATATACCAAACATTATAAACTGTGGTCAAACCCTCTCTACTTGACTTCAAGACCACACCTGGCGGACTCTGATCTTTATTTTTAGCTTCAGTTCTCCAGGATGCTGCCTTATCTCTTTTTTCTTTAGCTGATTTGGCATAGTGTTCCTGTTTTCTCATTTAGGTTAGTGCTACTGGCAACAGGCTTTGGTTTTCTCGGAGTGTTCCTCTTTTATTTCCCTTTGAGATTTTGATTGGCTTCCACCCCTCTTAATCTTGGCCCACAAATTGAAACTCCTTCCCATTTATTAATTTAAGATGACTTCTGGGTGCCTGGTTAGCTCAGTCAGTTAAATATCAGCCTTCGGTTCAGGTCATGATCTTGGGGTCCTGGGATCGTCCTGCGTCCGGCTCTCGGCTCAGCGGGGAGTCTGCTTCTTCCCCTGTCTCTGTCCCTCCCCCTGCTTGTGCTCTCTCTCTCTCTAAAACAAACAAACAAACAAATAAATAAATAAAATATTTTTAAAAAATTTCAGCCATTGGACTGAGAAGAGATAGAGTGCCATTAGAACTTGGCAATCTAGGATTCTGTTCTGATCAGCATTTCTGTTCCCTCTGTAGTATAAAATATGGGGCCACTTGCAGTGAAGCTGAAGATATCAGACCGTTTATTTAGGATTGTCATTGCTAGAGTCACCGCAATTTCGTCTACATCAGGACAAAAGGTTGCTCTCCAGCTACCATGAATTTTTTTCTCAAAGTCAGTATTAAAGGTCTACTTCTAGAAAATGGATGTGGAAAACAGTTTCAAGTAAAGATAAGAACAGTCACGTCCTGGGCCATTGCTGAGGCTGGCTGATATTCAGATGTTCTGAAACCGCTCCATGCGGCCAAGGGATCCTTTTCAAGATGCTCAGATTTCATCCCAGAGAAAAACAACAACTCTTAACACACTTTTTAAGATCTACTTTCATCAATTCGGCCTTTTGCTAGGATTCAGTCACTTTAA